GCCCGGGGTGGGGCTGGGGCCCCCCAGCCGATCCTGGGCTCCATGTGGCACTGTCACTTTGAAATACTGTGGGGAGCCTGACTCTTGGGCTTCTGCAGCACTGCTGTTTGGAACCCAGAGTCAACTGGGAGTCCCCAGCTGCTTCCAGGCTCCACATGGCGCTTTCACCTTCAAAGGCAAAGATGCCCTATCAACTAGTCAATTACCCTAAATTTAACATCCCTATTTCAAATACAATGTAGGAATAACACAATATATAAAATAGGTGGTGTAAAGCAATAAAATGAGAAACTGCAACATTTCTCAACATAACTGGAGAACTCCCTGTTGTCAAGTTGCTAGGCATAATCGCAGATGTTCTGAAAATGGGTACCTTGCATGAAAATACTATTTTTAGCAGATTTTGCTTTTTGTTGAAAAATTTCCAGTGTTTGTTTCAGAAAACAAAAGGATGTTTTGATTTCCATAATAAAACAATGAAAAGGTTTTTTTTGAAAGACCCTTTATCCAACTTTAATGAAACTTTGACTAGGTTTAGTTAAACTTGTACTTCATAGCTTTTGTAGCAGTTTGTTTTTTTTTGAAAGACCCTTTATCCATCTTTAATGAAAAACTTTGACTAGGTTTAGTTAAAACTTGTACTTCATAGCTTTTGTAGCACTTGAGCAATTCCAGTAAAATAAGATTAGGTTGTGGAAGTCACAGATTCCATAACTTTCAGAGACCTCTGACAGCTTTTTTTTAAAATTAGCAAGTTATAGATATCCCTAATAAGATAATCTGTCTTTCCTGTGGCTTTATCTCAATATTAACATGTTGCATTCATTGAGCAGTCTGTTGGTCAGTTGTCTTATGGATCACAAAGGAACCCGCACAAAAACAGTATCCTCCGTTGGCCGATGGTTTGCCCATTTCAGGAACTATAATTTTAATACTATACATTATATTCTACAATAAATACTGTAGATCCTAGAATTTGAATGTTTTGTCCTTTACAGTAAGTAGCATGTCAGTCACAACAATGTCCCTTTAAAAGAATGTTTCAAAAACTACAATAGCAACACAATATATATTGCAAGTTGTACAACAAAAGAAAACCGTGTTAACAGGTTTTTCATACTATTTTCAGTACAGAAATCACTCCTTAAAAAGGTAGTACAAGGGTTCCCAAACTGATTCATGTACCCAAGGGGCAATGCAAGATCTCTGGGGGATATGCAGGAGAAACTATGTAACGGTAGATTTTATTTATTACACTTTCATAATAGGCTACTCAAATGAAGCTTTTAAACTCTACAAATTTGTTACATAAAATATGGTAGTTTAATTTACTTCAAGATATACCAGTGAGAACACATGCTGCTGTACAGAGTACTCATCTACAATCTTGTATCACCCAATACAGTGTGGGTTCAATTGCCCAATAATTGTCCAGTGTAACTAAGTTCAGAACTTCATACTATATCTGTATATAACTGTGAAATATGAACACATGGTTCAGAACTTCATACTATAGCTGTATATAACTGTGAAATATGAACACATGGCAGAAAACAGTGTTAACATGCAAAGTATTAGTTATAACAAGGGTAGGATATGCAGGCAGCAACTAGATCTGGAAGGGGATATACAGATAATTGGTAAATCTGAAAGAGCGTACACAATAAGTTTGGGAATCTCTGCCTTAGTGTGCTGAGGTACTTTAGGGTCATTAAAGGTGTCACAATCATGTATTGTGGGGTAGCAAATAAGATTAGTTTGTGTTAACCATATAGTAGTGGTTGCATTTTGGTATAGCCTACTTGAACTACAAAAGATCTTGACTTCAGGTTGTAGTTGCAAAGACTTTGCAGTTTTGGTACAAAAGAATTGGGCTTGTGGTTCTGGTCTGGTATGCAAACATATCTTCAAATATGAATGGTAAAGAAATTCAAACTATTTTTGTCAATATATTTGGAAAAACAAAATGGAATGACTTTAATTCAGTTTCCTTGTAACAACCATTTCCTTTAATATTTTCTGCTCTGCTTTAAATGGCTTCATTGGTGTCTTATCAACTGAAACATGAAGTTTGAGCATTTTAGCAACTTAAAGGGGTTGCTTGAGCAGACTTCTAGACTGCTCCGCTTTCATTGGCCAGAGGAACTCCTCAAGAGTTTCCTGTTTTTCCTTCAGTTACTAGTGCTTGGAGTTCTGCTACTACTGTCTGTCAATTGTCAGATGTTACATTTAGTACCTCTTCGTTATCTTGAAGAGGGCAGATGATGATGCATATGTACTCTGGTATATTTAAAGTGGAATAGCCATTCCAAAATAACTTCAGACATGAATATTTACTCAGAGTGGCTACTCAGAAAAAGGTGCCACTTCTATAAGTGTCCATACAAAGTTATTCAGTAGGCACTCGTATAGACTTGCTCTGTGCCCTAAAGAAGCCAACCATGCATCTGTTCCTGTTCCCAGCCATTCGGACTAAACTTGTTAAAGAGCATGGATTCCGCAGAAGTTGATGGACTGGAGATAGAATAGGTATAAAACCTCTACAAAACAGACCTCATAGCTAAAATCTTTTGTTAGCATCTATTTAGTTTCAATGAACGAGATAAGTTTGACTATTTGTTGCCCAGCTTTCTCTTGAAGTCACTTTCCTGTTCTCTAGTTCTTGTTCATTGAAACTAAATAGATGCTAAGTTTGACTAACTATTTGTTGCCCAGCTTTTTCTTGAAGTCACTTTCCTGTTCTCTAGTTCAGTCTACCAGAGCAGACAACCTGGATTTCCAGTGTAAAGCAACAAGGAAAATAAGCAAACCTTTTAGGATTCTGTACATTAAGGGGGGGAAGGCAAGGCACAAGAACCTCTCTTGCTCTGCTACTCAACTGTTACTTTTGTGTTTCATGTCAGTTTGTATTTTTGCTTTGCATTTCACCTTGGAGTTTTTTGAACTAGCTGTTGTACCTAACTGCTATTGAAACTTGTTTGTAACATCTTTTTATGTAAATTACTCATTCAGGAAGGAAAAGAGAATGGTTTAAAGTAGAAGATGCTATCAAGATTCTTCAGTGTCATAAACCTGTTCATGCAGAATACCTGGAAAAACTGAAACTGGGCTGTTCCCCAACCAATGGAAATTCTGTGGTCTCAAATCTTCCCGATAACAACTCCTTATATGTCACTTCAGCACAGACTTCTGGGTTGCCCTCGACTGTGAGATAAAAATTTGGAATACCTTTTTACTCATGTGCCATCACAAGGTGGGGGAGGGGAGGAAGCTTTGTTCACATGCAGACATTTTTGACTCAGTTCTCAGCAAAATGTATGAATACATCATAACATTCAGACACTGACTTTTTTCTTTTAACAATGTAAAATAATATTGCAGCAAACTAAAGCCATATTTAGATTTTTAAGATGTCTTAACTAGCCATTTTAAAAAAACTAATCAGTGTGTGAATTTACACCCCTGCTAAAATAACACAACATCTGAGTTAAGTGGAACTTATTCCAGATTTTGGCTTAAATTGTTTTAGTCAAATACACCATAAAATAAAGGTAAACCTTTTGGCAGGAAAGTTTCTGTAAAACTTTCATTCAAAATGTACATTTACAATGCTAAAGACCTCTAAAATACTACTACTGTCTGGGAAACTGAGCATGCTATTCAACGTAAATAGATAAGCACGACTACAATGAAGCACTAAATACATCCAGCCAATGGCAACAAAGGATTTAAATATCAAGCAACATTTTTCTCCTTAGTTAAGTTGACTTATGGAGTTTTAACACACAAAATGTATTTGACAGCTCTGGCAAAGATTCTGAACTGAGGCTTGACAATTGATGGCGTTGACTTATGTAGTTTTAACACATAAAATGTATTTGACACCTCTGGCAAAGATTCTGAACTGAGGCTTGACAATTGATGGTCTGTCTCTACATTTCCAAAAGCTGTTCTGAGAAGTTTTTTGTAGTACCTGGCAAACATGCAAGAAATTCATAAGTATAGGAAGAGGTACATGAAAACTGAAAACATGCTGCTGATTTTTTTCTCCCTCCCCATGATTTTTTAAGTGTTGCTTTCCTCTGATATCTTAACATTCATTTTGCTGACAGCATGATCCTGTCGTTCTTTCCAGGATTGTTCAGTTATCAAAAATAGCATCTCAGTTTCTTTCAGTTTTGTCTCTTGAAGCTTCTGTGGCATAAGAAAGTATAGTGTTTGGGGGGGAAAAATTATACCTATAAGGGGTACAATTTGGATAGGTCTAAGTCCATTAGCAAACTGATGATGAAGAAATAGCATTTTGTAAACCTAGGAGCAAAGAGCTTCTATATACATTTCAGAGGTACCAAAAATTGTTACCTTATTAACTATGCTGGATATCCCAATTCAAGTAGTTATACTTCAAAAATATTACGGACCATTCCAAATAACCATTTTTGCTCTCCAAAGTGAAAGTAGAGCTACTGCTACAACTGCAGTAAACTTGGGACTGCAGCCTGTCATAATTACCACTTTCCCTTGTACCTGCCAACCAAAAACATTGAGACCCACAGCTGAGATCAGTTTCCAAACATGTTCTTGCCACTGTGCCATTATAAGTCTTCTACAAAGAGTGCCATCCTAGCTTATGCAGATACTTAACTTTGGAAATTTGTAGGATCTAAATGATGATTCAGCAGCCTCTGCCTTTCTAAGCAGCCAAAACTTAGGGTGGGGTAAACGTGTCTTGTGAAGGCTGTTTTGGGTAAACTCATTCTTTTACATAGCATTTGAACCCTTTGTAAATATTCCAACTGGTAAATAGTGAGTGTAAAATGGAAAGTAAATGTAATTTAAACATTTTGTTACTCAATACACAAATGGTTAACTTCTACTTTTTTAGCACAAATTGTGTAAAATGCTGCTATAAATTAAACTTGCGTGCTGTTACACTTTTTTAGGAATATACTGGTGCCACAAGTGATTTTTTTGAAAAATGAGATGTGCCATATATAAATGTATTTGAACAATGGATAGTAATATTTCTGAGGTTTCACCTCATGCAAAACTGCTCTTTGCCAAGGCCATAAGTACTACTGATTAGAGATGGCCCTGAACATGAGCCACGAAACATGAGCTCCTTGAACTTTGAAGTGGGATGTTTAAATCACTTGGTCAGCACTAGCCCTAGTTCTAGTTCCAGGTCACTTCTAAAACCGGAAGAGGAGGCATGTCTATGTATAGTTCAGATTCACCACACAATTGTTGAATTGTGGTGAACTGCTGATCTCATGAGTCTTCAGGTACTTGAGGTCCAAAATCTCAAAACAATGAGATTTTAAACTATTTTTTAATTATGATGTGAACACCACCAACATTGCCTAACTCATATTGACTTTGAAGGGCTTTCAAAATTGAAAAAAATGTACTAAAACATCTAGAGAGCGCAGAAGTCAGGCACTTTGAAAAGAATGTCTGATGTACTATGATAGAATTTCTGTCATGTACATTGACACTCATGTTGTTCAGAAGTCATTAACATGTTAAACTGAGCTCATAACTATTAGCCTTTGAGAAAATGACTTCTGAACACGTTAAACTGAGCTCATAACTATTAGCCTTTGAGAAGTTTCTGATTTTGTACAGCATAATCCATGTAACTACATACAAGAATCCAAAGTAGTTACTTGGCTTATAGTTCATAACTACATCTATCTCAAAGTTTGACTCCTGGAATTAAAAGAAAACCCATACTTGTATAAAATATTAGTGGTAATGCATGATTTTATTTTGTAGCTCTATGTATTTGATAATTGTAAAAATGTACAGAATTGCTGTTGCTAACAAGCTCAGTTGATTGCCTATAAATATTTTAATATTTTTGGTTGCACCCCTTTGGATTATTAATAGTGCCACATGAATTCTTATGCCATTCATTGTACAGATCTCTTCAGTCTCTATGCAGCTTTCAAAATGAAACATGTTCAATTTTATTTCCAATGCTTTTCTATTCACAGAACTTTGAAGTATGTGACAGTAAAGGTAAACTGACAGTACTGTGCAGGCTGTTGCTTTTAAGTATGCTACAGAACCATTTTGGCAAATATTCATTTGTATGTGAGTGTTAATGACTGTCAAAGTGAGCACTACATTGCATTCTATAGAAATGAATGGTGTAAAAATGGATGGTGTAAAATGTGGGGTAAGAGAAATTTTGCATTGGTTCCAGGTGTCAAAATTAAATATAGAAGCATGTTGCTGCCAGCACTTTTCTCACATTCTTAGAAAGATTTTTCCAGTTTGATTCATGAAGTAAATGAGTGGTGGTTCTTATGGCTTTTACTAGGGTGCATTATTTGTGTAAATAGGACTAGTTTAAATTTTTCATCCTGTTTTCCAACCAAAGTGAGCTGCTGATGGCTCTGAGGCTTGTCTGGCTGTGTGAACAAAAAAGGAAGCTGATTTGCACCAGTGGATGTGATGGGCTATTGCCAGTGCAAATAGCTTCAGCTCCAACTGAACTGGAAATAGTTACCCATTTTTAAGCAGGCATTTATTGAATCTTGTAACACTGCAACAGTATCAAGTGTTTTGCACAGAGGCTGTTAAAGTGAAAAGCATAATTTGGCAACAACTTGCGCATTAACTTTGCCCAAAGTTGGCCTATTTACGAGCTGTTATGGAGAAAATCAAACCAACTAGGTTTTTTCCTTTTATCAACGTGGTTCTGAGAAGAGAAACTTGAAGGAAATGTAAGTTGTAGACATTTTGAACTGCTTGCATGGATTTTTCTTTAAAGATTGATGTAAGAATTTTGACTTTTTATATTTGAGAAACATCAAAATAAAATCTGAACTAGAGCTGTGGGTGTCATCTTTCAGTAGGTACTAGTGTTTAATGGCAGAGTGCTGATATACAATGTTTATGCCCTATCTGAAAAGGGTTTGAGCGTCACTTGGCTATAGCACTGGCAAGTAACTTAAACCTTAAGTTGCCCTTTTGGTGCCCCAGTTTGCATATCAGTGTAAATGGTCCCAAAAGCTGGCAGTGTTGCACGTGTACTCATTTAAACACCTCAAGGGTATCCATGTTAGTTTGTAACTTTAAAAATGTAGTCCTATGGCACCTAACATACTCAGTCGTGAATTCTGAATGGTCCAGCTAACTGTATATGCAAATACAATTGAACTCTTTTACCACAGTGCTTCTGCAAATTGATAGTTCTCTGGCCACAAACCTTGTTTAAACAGAAGATGACAGTGTTTGTCTTTACATGCTTTGGTAATTAAACATTTAAATACCAGCCCTTTTAAAAAATGTTCAAATCCTCTCCATCCAGATCACTCACATTTTGTTGCTCCAGTCTACCATGTAGACATGAAGCCAAACTAGTGCTACAGTTTAGGACTTTGAGTTCTCTGCCTCATATTATAATTGTTTGTACCAGTGTTTCCCAAACTATGGGCCATGGGAAGAAAATACCGGGCCTCAGTGTGGCTGCCAGGGTGTTCCGGGCTCCTGGACTGCCCATGCAGTGCCAGGTCCCCCAAGCCCTCAGCTGGGATGGGTGGATACAGCTGTATGTTTCAGGCTCCTAGCAGAGCCATAGTGAGGATTACCAGGTGAGCTCTTATTGCTGGCTGGGGGGAAGGGGGAGTGTTGGATATGGGCTGCAGGGAATCAGGGTTGGGGCAGTGGAGCTGCCTGGGGGAGATAGGGAGGGAAAGCCATGCAGTGCCAGGTCCCCCAAGCCCTCAGCTGGGATGGGTGGATACAGCTGTATGTTTCAGGCTCCTAGCAGAGCCATAGTGAGGATTACCAGGTGAGCTCTTATTGCTGGCTGGGGGGAAGGGGGAGTGTTGGATATGGGCTGCAGGGAATCAGGGTTGGGGCAGTGGAGCTGCCTGGGGGAGATAGGGAGGGAAAGCGCAGGGCCTGCCATGGGGGAGGGGGGAGAGTGAGGGAGAAGTTGGAGAGGGAAGGGGGGGAAGAATTGGCCAGTGGGGAGTAGGACAGTTCAGGGGCACACGCAGTTCTTGAATAAAAATGTAAAAGCGGTGCATTTTAAATATCCCCACTGCTGACAGTGAGGTTTAAAGGCACTATAATGTGTCAGAATGGAGAGAACCTGGTGCTTTCACCATCCAGAATGAGAATATGGATAAATTCCAAAGATGGTGTGGGCTTTCTGAAAATAAATGAGCCCTTTTCAAGACATGAGGTAGTGGTGCAGGGTTTTGCTGGATTATGCTGGTTCTTCTGGCAGAAGCAGGGCTGGCCCCAGGAGGGCGGGGGGCTGTGGGGCTGGCTGG